AAAAAATTTAACATTGCATTACATGATTGATGAGTTGTCATTTTTTATTGCTTAGGACAGCAATGACGTGGCATCTCTCTAATTTCTCACAATATTTAAGATTCAAGTCAGTGGCAAACTTGGAGACATCCAGCACAATTTAGCCTTTCTCAGCAAACCGACTGCTTTCACTGCACAAACAACTGTTTTTCCAGCTTCCACTACTTGCGCTGCCTTCATTCTTCTCTCCATTACCCCTTATTTTCTAAGGTAAAGTAAATGATCATAAGCTTCTTGTTTATGTGGCCTTACACTTACATACTCCAATCCCCATTATCCTTCTCAACTTACCATTTTTTTCAGCATTTTGGTGTTACATATTAACTTATATTGTTTTCTTTTCTGCAGATTGCATCATTTTCGAACAAAATCTCCCCCATTTTTTCGCAGCCATCTGGACAAGTTTCACCAGATCCCAGGAAGTAAAATCTACTGCATTTTTGCAACCCTCTGAAAACCTAGTCAAAAGTCTTTTGTTTTTTTCCCCCAGATTTTCTCCATTATCTTATTTTCTTTTTAATTAGCTTTTTGGATTTTACTCTCCTTCTTCCAAAGGATTCAATTCTAGATGTTGGTTTTATGCTTTTATAACTATTGCACCTTGTTTTCTACTTTACGTGTATGTAATGAAAATTGATCTTGAAGTTAACTGGTTAGAAAGTAAGTACCTTCAGGCACTTCGGGGAGAAGCCTTAGTAATATTGTTATCCTTTCTTCCGTCGCACAAAGTCGCTTAAGCAAGGTGCATTTTATACCATCAATTAACTTTTGTATACAATTCATTTATGTTATTACATTCATTCCTTTCGAAACTGCTAATAATTACAATATCTTGTTAATACTCCGACATAACCAACCAATTGGTTTCGCTGCAGAATTAACAACTGTTGTTCCAGTCTCATTTCTGCGTTCCTTGCATTCCTCTCTTCATTGCCCCATGTTTTCCAAGGTAACTCAAAAGGTTCATGATCGTGTGATTTTACAAATGTTTGAATTATCATTTTTCTTCCTAACTTTTTTTCATTTCTAGCCTGTCTGATTTTATCTGTCAACTTATCATCTCATATTGGGTTCTTTAATTTTCACAGATTATTGCATTATTTTGGTAAAATCTACTACATTTTTCTGTCTCTCAGAAGCAGGAGTTTCACGACAATAGGTATAATTTTTAATTTAATTCTTATATATCTATAACCTTTATTTCTTTTTATACTTTTGCTAGGTTAACCCCTCTATTAATTTGAAATCTACTTTACATGTAATGAAAATCTTCCACGTAGTTAGAAACTTGCGAGCAATCTGTGGGGAAGCGTTTCACTTGGCACAAAAAAAAAAAATGAAGAAAGAAGTAGGTCCCTACCCTTCTGCCTCATTCTAAGGTGATTTGGGGAAAGCACTAGCCATTCAAGCAAGGTACATTTTCTTTTTTCAATTAATTTGATTTATGTTGCAAGCTCTGAATTTCCACATAACAATATCTTTATTTTTTTATTTTTTAAGTTGCAATAAGTATGTATATAATTATATATATACACACGTGTGCACACACACGTGTGTGCGTATATATATATATACTATTTTCCATCCCTGCCTTCTTCACATTCATTTTCCTTCTTTGAAAAGTCACAAGCTTTATTTGTTTTGTCATTTTAGTAAATAACATTGTCTTTTTCTTTGGACAATATTCTCCTACCTCTTCCAAATGATTTGATTCTAGCTGTTCTCATTTTTGACTTTGTTGCGTTTTGGTTTCTACTTTGTGTAATGAAAATATTTTATGTAGAGAAGGATAGAAAGTCTATCTGAGTAAATCCGTGGAGGAACTTTTCGCCAGACATTTTTTTTTTTTGTCATTTTAAAAAGTCATTTGAAGAAAACACAATCATTTGAAGCAAGGTACTTTTTCTTTCAATTTATTATTAAATAAATGATTTAACAAACTATTTTTTAACGTTTTTTTTTTTTCTTGAATTTTGCTCTTCCGCTTCCAAAGGATTAGATTCTAGATGTTGGTTTTCTGCTTACTTCATTTTGGTTTCTACTTCAATATATGTAATAAAAATTGATCTTGAAAGTATAGCTAACCAGATAGTATGTGCTTATGAGTTATCTGTGGAGACGTTTTAACAATATTGTTATGCTTTGGTTCGTAGCTTAGAGTCATTTAGGCGACGAAAATTAACAGGTGCAGAAGCTTCTCTGAGCAAATCAACTGTTTTCACTGCAGAAGTCTTTCTCAGTGAACCAACTGCTTTCACTGGCAAAGTAAAAAGTGCTGTTCTAGTGTATTTCCACTTTGCCTGCCCTTCTTCTCTTCGTTGCCTCTTATTTTCTAAGGTAAATGATGACAATTGCTTTCACAGTAAAATTACACGGGTGCTTTTTCTTTCCATTTTTATATCTATTAACTTATCGTTTCGCATTTTATTATCTATTTGATATGCAGATAGGCATCATTTCATTTGGGATAAAATTTACCGCATTTTCTGCCTTCTCAGAGTTAGAAGCACAAGTTTCAGGTCCGGCGGTTTTGTTTTTTTATTTCCCTTTTTTTTTTTATATTCATTTTTCTTCTCTTAGTAGCTCTATTTTCTTTTTATAATTTACTAGTTTTAGTATATGACGTAGTCCTTTCCTTGGATTATCTATACTTTCCTGCCACCTTTAAAGGATTAGACTCTAGATTGTTTTTCTCATTTTTAACTTCTTTGCATTTTGGTATCTACTTTACATGCAACGAAAATCTTTCATATGAAGATATAGAAAATTAAGTAGAGCAATTTGGGAAGAAACCTTTCGCCAACATGTCCTTTCTTTTATCATTCTAAGTCACTAGGAAGAAAATACTGACAATTAAAGTAAGGTACGTAGATGATGTTGGATTCGGTTAAAACTTTTCGTCATTTCATCTTAGTTATTTCACTTTTTGGCTTTATATATAGACAATATAAGGATTGAATAAAAGTTAAAATTTTAATATTTTATTTTATTTTATTTTAAGAATTATCAAAATTTTTAATAAAATTTAAATAAATATTTAATAAAAATTTGAAAATTCTTTAAAAAGTTTTAAATAAATACTCAACACTGTTTTAAAATCGTAGTAAAATTTCAAATAAATATACAATGGATATTTAAAAAAAATCTATTAAGGGGTTGAAGCTTAATTAAATTAAGAGTCTTTTTAACAAGCTAATGGTGTATTTGTTGTAATTTTCACTTTTTATTTATACAAAAAAAATTATAAAAATAAATTTTATTTTTAATATTAATATCATGTGTAATTATTTAATGAGATTGTTAATAAAATTTATTTATTTAAAATTAAAATTAGTTTTTATATTTTTTATATATTTATAATAAAAAATAATTTTAATATTTATCTTAAAAATATAAATTAAAAAAA